AATTAAAGTTAATTTCCACTTAAATAGTTTGGTGAAACTGGCTGTTAAATAAATAGTTTATTGAAACTGAAAATTATTTAAATGATTATTAAATACAAAATTAAATTAAAGTTAATTTCCACTTAAATAGTTTGATGAAACTGGCTGTAAGGCCGTCATAAATAAATTGGTTTGATTCGTTATCATTTCCAGTTTCGAATGCAACAAGATTGAAATAATACTGAAGCGATGTCCATTTTAGTAATAGCCTGTTAACCACAGCCTAAAAAATTATTTTATAAATGGAAATTAATTATACATATTTTCAAATAGATGAAGTAAAAAGTACTTTTAAATTGTAACTTTGGAGTTTACCTCACGTGAAAGCCAACGAGTTGTACATAAACGTAGAATAACGTGAATCTCCTGTCCAAAATGTTCTTGCAAGTGAGCAAAATCAAATTTTCGGCCACCACTGTGACAAAAGTGATGATTAATTTTGTACATTAACTTGTCTATATTTCCAGGCATTACGGTGGCAGCGGCTTCAGATGCCAAGTTCAAATTATGGCACCATTAACAAATAAATTTGGGCAAACCTCTTTCAATTTCGCTTGGACGCTATTATTCTTACCCATCATAACATTGCAGTTGTCTGCAGTAAATGCCAACAATTTGTTTATGATACCTTTAAAGAGATTTACTAAAGCATCGTAAATTCCGGCCGCTGTAGAGTTGGTGACTGGAACCAGGTCTAAAACCGGTCTCGACATCTTTTGTCGTAAATTCTAACAGCAACCGCCAAAATTTTGGAAGTCGTTATATCGGTACTTTCATCAATAACAATGGAATAATACTGACGTTGGGTAATTTCCGATAAGTCTGTACAATTTGCAGCCCCCGTCACAGAGGTTATAATTTTTTGTCCTTTTAATTTATTCAATGATATCTGTGAAATAGGTTTTGAATCTTTGACTGTCTTTAGGCACTTTATGAGATGATCAAGGCATCTAAATGGCAAGTTGTGTTCAGCAATAAACAACGACAGACGAATTTCCAAATCTTTAACAGAGTTATTCGTCTTTTCATCTTCCGGATCAGGCCCGTAAATGCTAGAAATTTTCAGAGTGGATTTCGCCGTACTTTCATTTCTTTTATGCATGTCAGTGTTTCCATGCCTTACAATATGGTTCAAGTTACCATAAATCCCCACATTACAAACTATACATTTTTTGCCTTGCTTTATTGTGGAATCTTCCTCCAGCCAAGGAAACTCTTTTTTCCATTCACTTCGAAAACGAATATCGTAGTTTTCGCGCTTGGGACTTTAGAAATCGTTCAAATTGTCATCTTTACTTACAGCAGCAGGTGGAGAATGAACACAATTGCCGCCAGCAGCCGTATCACTTTTAGAGCGGTCCGAATTTTTTAACAACCACCTAATGAATGACTTATTAATTTCACAATGAACTGAATATAGTTAATAGTGTATTCTATAATAAAAAATACCTCTCCATTTTTCTGATGTGCTTCGCGCCAAACTATTGTTTTAACAAGTGGCATTTGAGACATGAAATGTCAACCAAATTAATGCAGCATTGCCACCTTTAATTTCTTAAATATACGGATCACTCAAGTAGCGTTTACACTGACATTGCGGACAGTAATCATCTCTAAGTAATCGTTTACAGAGGCGATTTTTAAAAGTAAAGATCTCAAAAATTACATAAATATAGATTAAATTACAACTTAAAAAGGAAATTATCCAATAAATGGACTACCCACTAGAACTTGAAGGGAGATCTCCCTATGTGAGGAATAAAAGAGTACTCACCTTAACCTGATTTCTGAGCAATAAGGGAGTAATGTCGGTTTTGTACTCCTTTATTACTCGTTTAGGAATCAAATAGGAGATCTCCTAAGCTAGCGACGAAATAATACTCCCTGAGGCATGATTTGGGACCAATAAACGAGATTTGTCGGTTTTGTCCTCCTGTATTGCTCGCTTAGGAGCGTAATGAGAGATCTCCTAAACGAGCAATTAAAGAATGCTCCCTGAGGCATGATTGGGGAGCAATAAGCGAGATTTGTCTGTTTTGTACTCCGTTATTACTCGTTTAGGATTAAAAAGTGATGTCTCCTAAGCGAGAAATCCAAGAGTATTCTTTTTGATTGATAGGAGAGCAATACGCACCTCGTTCAAAAGAAATTTTGTGTTTTCGGAAAAATGTATCATAGAAAAAAAACAACAGAAAATATTTCTTATAGATGCATAAGGAGGACACAATGATCTAATTTGGATAGCACACAGATTTTAATAAAAGTCCGTTGGTATGTACCTCAACTTTTGTTTAAATATATTAAGTATTGTCTTACTTATAAATATACCGTTAAATACTTTTCAGATTGCGCAAATTAGTGTTTGCATTTAAGTGTGACCCCCGGGTTTAAACATCGCATGGGTGACAAAGATGTCAGATAACAAAGTCACCTTCACAATTTCCCCGCTTAGTGGATTCCTGAACAGGCAAGCATCCTTGACACCCAGGAAATCATATACGAGTACATACTTATATGTGCATATAATTCAAATCTTATCTTACCGTTTTGTTATTATTATGTTTTGCAATATAATTCTAAAATTAAGCAATTATGTAAGACAAATCATTTATGTTTTATCTGATCTCGTACTTATATCTGTTAAGATCTTGTAAAATTGCACAAATGCACGTGATTAAAAAGTTAAATAAAAAATTTTATAAATAGCAAAATCTATTTGGCTAATTTAAAAAGTTCGTTATCATTGCTCTCTTATTACTCCTATAGGAGGCTTTCGGGATGCCTCTAATGGGAGCACTCCCTTATTGCTCGTTCGGGAGGAATATGGGATGTTTTCTATGTGCACTCCCTTGTTGTCTTTTTGGGAGGTTTCTGGGAGATAACTATGGGAGTACTCCCGTATTGCTCCATTAGAAGGTTTGTGGGATGATAATTCTGTGTGTGCTCCCCGATTGCTCGTTTAGGAGGTAAAAGGAATTACTCCCCCTCCTAGGACATCCAATGTTAAAGGGAGTATACCAAATTACATGCTTATACACAGTAGCATAGGCAGCAATGGGGAGTATTCGTTTACTCCCAAGGGAGTACTGACCAAGCAATCGTACGATGCTCCAGAGTTCTACTGGGTAGTAAGAAAAAGTACCTAATTTCAAACAAATGTACCTAATGTACCTTCTAAGTTAAAAAGGGCCGAAAAAGGTACAAATGTACCTACAAAATCAACACTGCTACAGACAGATGCGTTTTTAATGGAGTGATGGAGAAGTAGGAAAGTTAAATTATTACGAAGGGCACTAAATTAAGTAAATTTGTTAAGCAAACGGCAAATAACATCAATTCACCTCAGAAACCTCAAAGGAAGAAGGCATGCCAGAGACAGTATTTGTGGATTTTTATAAAATATCTGTAATTTTTCTATTTTGAACTATTTATGTACATATTTTTCAATGTTGAAAACAAAAGAAAGTTTACAGCTGAGTGGCTCACATTTTTTGCATGGCTTTCCAAAGATGGCTCCGGCTTTTGTGAGGAATGCAATAAAGTGAACTACAAAACTGCATACTCAAATTCTTTCTAAAGTTCTAAAAAATCGTATTAAACAATTTAAAATTTGTATGAGAATTTATTGAACTTTGTTGAGTTTTAAACAAAGTTTAATAATAATAATAACAGATTGGCGCTTACACATATGTTAGTGTTTGGCCGAACTTCTCCTCCGACTTGTGGCGTGCGCCGTGATGTTGTCACACAAAGCAGAGGGACCTACAGTTTTACGCCGACTCCGAACGGCGATTGTATTTTTATGAGAAGCTGTTTTCATGGCAGAAATACACTCGGAGGTTTGCCATTGCCTGCCGAGGGACGACCGCTGTTAAGAAAAAACTTTTTCCCTTATTTTTGGGGTGTTGCTTTGACCAGGGCTTGAACCCAGGTGCTGATGAGTCAAAGCGCGCACTGCTTACCACTACACCACAGCGGTCGACAAGAAGTTTAGAAATTATATTTTTATGTTTTTTGTTTAAGTATGAACTAAATATTCGGTAGGGGGAAAAATATGTGGGTGGCAGCACTGATACATATGAATATAAATTATTGATTAAAATGATTTCTTCAATTATATAAATTTATACTTACATAGTTAAACTTCAAATCGGGGTGCATGTAATCCACACCTATAAAAGATTTAAGAAACAATTAATACAAAGAGCCTAGATATGACTATTTTGCAGAGAGACAATTTATGAAGTTGGCCCTGGTTTTTTTCAATTTCACAAATTTCATATACGCATATGGTTTTAAAGTTGGTTTTAGTGCATGGTACAATAATTACAGGTATTGTCTTCCCAGAGAGTTTTACTTCACATCGAAATTCGTATTCCCTTATTTTCATTTTGACGCAGTACAATGTTGACTCTTTTACTTTTATTTGGCTTTGCTTTTTGTTTTCGCTCAATTTAATTTATATAATTTTTCAAACCAAAAGAAAAAACGTTTGAAATGAATTGAGCCATACAAATTTTGAATTTATCTACTAAGCAAATGTTTTTTCGGCTTTGGCAAATTAAACAAGTCCTCTGCAAGAAGCTTTGTTTAAAAAAAAATACGTGAACATATGTATATAGTATATGGGGTATGGAAATATCCCTTTTCCCTAGCAGTAAACCTTTCAGTGTGGGCAACAATGTTGTTTTTCAAAGAAGGGAGATCGGAATATGTGCTCTCTGGGAAGACAATACCTGTAATTATTGTACCATGGTTTTAGTGTAAGTAAAAGTTATCTATCAACAATTACTTTAACTCAAATTTATTGATACTTATCATTATACACGGCGGCAGACGTGGTCGAGTTGTTAGAGGTGCGCACTACGACTCGGTAGAACCAGGGTTCGTTCCCTGGTCCAAGCAACATCGAAAAAAGTATTTTCTAATAGCGGTCGTCCTTCGGAAGGCACTGGCAAACATTCGAACCTATTTCTGCCATGAAAAATCTGCTCAATAAAACCATTTGCCGTTCGGAGGCGGCGTATAACTGTAGGTGTTGTGTGACATCATCAAAGCGCACACCCCAGATTGAAGCAGAGGCTCAACTATTTATCATTTTATTCGAGCGCAATTGTGTAACAGATTAGCAGAAACGAGATAGTTATTGGTATACATCTGTATATACATAGATACCTAGGTACATATCGTCGTTTAAAGTACAAGACAGCGTATCGTCATTCTTCAAAACCGCTTAACTGACATTTGTTGCCAAAAATTGGGTTTGCTCACACAAGCCCTTGGCTAAAGCCTTATCCATTCGTCCTGAAATATATTAGCCAGAAATGCGATTGATTTATAAAATAGATAACTATTTTGAAATATGAGTATTTTTACTCTTTAGAAAATAATTTATGCAACCTCACATGCGCGGTTTTGCAATATCTTGATAAGCGGTTTTGCAGTTTGTTGATGAGCGGTTTTGTACTTTAAACGACAATATGTTTGTATAAAAAAGGTTCAATGATGAAGAGAAAAAGCGATCGAGTCATCTCCGTTTGCACGTGTGCCAATCCGTAAAAATGAATCTTCGTGTCTAGTTTGCTCTCGGTCCAACGAAGCTGAATATTGAAACGAGGCGAAGTCGGACAGAAATCATGCCTACCCTCTATATAAAGGGTGCTGAATTGCTCATTGCTTAAAATATAAAAACTACAATATTTCAGTAGTTACTTCAAACTTTTATCAAGAAACTGTATTCTGTAACCTGGATAACTCCATACCCGCTTCGCCAATATCAAACTCAGTACACGCATTGCGTTTGGCCTCCCTAAGTAATAGATTAGCCTTTTTTTGAATCGGATAAAAACCACTCACACCTCCCATATACATATGTATATTTATGTTTTATGACATATATGCATGGGCGTACGCAGGTCCGGGCTGGAGGGGTCGCAAGCCCCCGTAATTTCAAAGTTTCATTGTGCGCCCGCCTGTGTAAGCGTGACTGTCAGAAAAGCTCAAAAAGGGTACCTTTTATGGACTCATGCGCCGGGTATAAAAAGTTCGGTTTTACCATAACTTAAACTTATTTACTTGCTAATTCTTAAGATTTCATGAAAAATCAGGGGCTCACTTCACAAATTTTTACTCACTATTCTGATTTCGCTTACCATCGTCCATTATTGCAGTTGTGACATTCTTCCCGGTTATTCCTTGATCCCATGCTGCCTGAACATTTAGATCTAAACGCATTTTCCCGCCATTTTGTCCCGTATTTTTCAAATACCACTGCAAAGGAAAATACGGATCGGTTGGTTCAACGCCAATTGGTTGAACGCTGTAGGTGGCATCGAACTTAAGACCATGAATTGCAGGAATCGCAGGGCGCAGACCACGTTTTACCCGTTTGAATCCTGGCTGTTGAATCGCAGTGTGAACCTGAAGATTGATAAACAAACATACTTATTTAGGAATTTTGTTGTATCGTTTGTGTTATTGATAGTCTACGAACCAAATAATGCACAACCTTCACCCATCTGTTTAAATGATGAAATCTATTTTGTATGAAATTTAACGTGTTAGGAAATATTTCGCGGGTGGGTTGGCTTAAAAAATCCTGGCCAGGATATTTTTAATTAAATATTTCAAAAATTATTATATTTTGTTTAATTTTGCACTCGTTTGTTTAATGAACAAGTTACATACCAATCGAAAATATTAAGCCTATAGGATGTGAATATTGTCTATTTTTTTCCTGGCCTACCTATCGAGTTGGCAGGTATGAACAGGTAAGTAATACTAGTAATTTTCACTCGTCTGTTTAACACATTCTACAAGCTTTATGCTTTCGATTAGTATATACAGTATCGGTCATATCTATAGCGCACCATTTCAAAGTGAGATTGTGTGCCACTTATGTTTATTTATTTATTTTTAAGAATTTTCAATTAAAATATAGTTCATTCTCAGGCAAACTCCATATAAACCCAAATTAACAATTTGTAGAAAACAACAAAAAAGTGCAAAAAGTTTCACCTAAATTTCAAACTTTTTTCTCGGAAGTGTTAGAATTTTTTTGAGTACACAGTTTTTAGCCCCTTCAATTTTATAATTAGGCAAATTTCAAGTGGCTACGAATTACCGTTCATTTTTTAGAATTTTTTTTTGTCGCACTGGCTTCCATATAATGAATAAACTCAATTTATTTGTATATGGAAGAAATCCGCAACACCTTTGGAAAAAAAAAAATCTAAAAAATCAACGGTAGCTTTTAGCCACTTGAAACTTGCACATTATCAGACTAAAATCGATTGGGCTATAAAACTGTGTGTTCAAAAAAATTCTAACACTTCGGAGAATAAAGTTTGAAATTTGGGTGAACATTTTTTTCACTTTTTTGTAGTTTTCTACAAATTGTTAAACTTCGGTTTATATGGGTTTTGTTAGAGGTAGAACAGTATTTCAATTGAAAATTCTAAAAAATAAATAAATAAACATAAATGGAACACAATATCACTTTGTAACGGCGTGCTATTGATATGGCCGATACTGTATGTATGCATGTAAATTGTTCATTGAACAAATGAGAGCAAAATTACAAAATAAAAAAACAAGTAAGAATGTCTAAGTTCGGGCGGAGCCGAACATTAAATACCTGGCGCAAATATTAAATATATGTTTTTCACCTTTCCAAAATCTACCGCTACTTGGTAAGCCGGGATGTATCAATTTTGAGTAAATTAGCGTCCTTAAATTTCGAAATATTGAAGTTTCAAGCATTTCTGAAATTTACCGTAATATGAAAAGCGGCCATAATTTTAGTCGGATTTCAATAATTTTCAACGTTTTGCTTTTATGTGGCAAGCAAAATAACCATACCGAGTTTGGTACAAATTGGTAGAACGGTTACCGAGATACATATATGTGATAATAAGTGGGCGGGGCCACGCCAATTTTCCAAAACTTTATCATAACGTATTTCGTGGTAAAGAATTGTTGCAAGCATCAATTTTAAATAAAGTAGCTTTAATATTAACTGATTAATCGAAGATTTCGTATTTCTCTAAATTACCGTTATCGGCCATTTGGTATGCTGTACCAAGGCCAACAACTGTGCCAAGTTTGGAAGAAATTGGTGCAACGGTTACCACGATATACACATGTAACCATAAGTAGGCGTGGCTACGCCCATTTTCCAAAAATTTATAATATTCTTATTTTTCGTCTAAAAATTATTGTAAATATCAATTTTGAGTTAATAATCTTAAGTAGTTGCTAAAATAGCGCAGTATTTCTGAAAATTACCGTTATATGGGAGGTAGACGTGGTTATTGTCCGATTTTTACCATTTTCAATACCATCTGTCCTACGCCCGGAAGTTATCGTGTGCACAGACGCACGGACGGACAGACAGTCACCGCTTAATCGATTCACCTTTTCATTCTGATCATTTATGTATATGTACATTTGTCTATATCTATCTCGATTCGTTTTGCCTATTACAAGCAACCGTTATGTGTGCACAAGTGCGCTCGGATATAAAACTCATTTTTGAATATTTAATTAAAAATATCCTGGCCATGATTTTTTCAGCCAACCCACTCGTGAAATATTTCCAAACACGTTAAATTTCATAGAACATAGATTTCATCTATTAAACAGAAGGCTAAGGGTCGTGCACCAACAATTTTAATGTACTGGTGTACAAGCAAACATATATGTGTCACGTAAAGTTAAAAGGGACCTACGCTCAGAAAAAAAGATTTCGAGAAAAACGACTTTGAAGTTTACCAAGTTGATTTTGATGCTTCTGAACGTTTTAATGGATTGAAACTCGTTACTCGGGGGGTTTCGGAGTTGATGATTACGAATCCGATGTTCGTTTTTAAAAATTCAAAATGGCGGATCCATTATGGCGGAAAAAATTTAAAATTTGTTCGGTTCGTTGACACCGAATTTTGAAAAACTAACATCGGATTCGTAATCAGCGACCCCGAAAACCCCCGAGTAACGAGTTTCAAGCGAATTTAATTAATTTCATTATAGTTTGTCAGATTTGATTTTTTTTTGTACTTTTTTTTGTGAAAGTACCTAACTTTGAAGTGAAATTGTGAAAAAACTAATGTAGCTAGAAAGCTGTGGTTTTTTGCATTGGAAAGAGCGGCCCGTTTATTATAAGAGTCGATAAAAAAGTGAAAACCGATTTTTTTCTTACCGTAGGTCCCTTTTAACTTTACGTGTCACATATATGTACATGCAGGGTTGTCAGGTATCCGCTTATTGACCGGACAGTCCGGTTTATAATTAAAACAAATCCGGACTATGGAGTGTCCGGTTTTTTCTTTTTCGAAAAGCAAAAACTCCTAAAAAGTCTGGAAAGTCATCCGAAGTAGTCGCATATTTTAAAATTGATGGTGTAAATTTATGAAATAGTCGACGCAAATTTTTGCAATGGGCTGGTGGGAAGTAAGTATTGATGTGCTCAGTCCATACTTTTAAGTATTGATCTATACCGATTTAAAAAGATCGCACAACAGCCTAAAATATGGAAGGCAAGCAGCTCATGGGAGGCTCGCCTATCCAAAGCCGAATGTAGTTATGCTGATCAGCAAAAAAAATATATAAAAAAAATAAAAATTAAAATAAAAGAAAATTATGTATTTATGTATGTACATACATATATACATTTTCCGCATTGGTTTTATGACAGTTATACAATAAAAATCGAAATAGAGTTTTTCTAAAATTGCTTACAGAAGGCGGTCGTAGAGTTCATGCAAGTTTTTTATAAAACTCATTAGCTTTTGTTTAAAGCAATCAATCGCTCCATATTATTTGGATCTAAACGATCTCCTCGCTCGATTAATATACGCCGCGTTTTTCAAAACACGCGTTTGCTTGGAACGCAAAGGAACTCCTTTTTTATCGCACTGCACTGCAAATATAAGTTAAGTATTTGACCTTCATGCTTGGAAACTAAAGTTTGAGCTCAGTTTGGTTGAGGTTGTTTGAGGCCAGAGTATGTGTATGTGTAGGTACTAGATACCAGAGTACGAAAACAAACCGAATTCGAAAAGAAGTACGACAAGTTTGTGTTCCTTTTGTCATACTCGAGCACTAACAATACACGAAACGAATTCTTTGTTCTTTGGCTCACTTGCATGGTTTCGATTGTAGTAAAGATACTCATTCTGCAAAACTGAAACAAAACACGATAAACACAAGTAATTTTTAGCAAAAAAAAACCGACTTCAACTCTCATAAAAAAAATATATATATATATATATCTCATGATAAACTGATCGGATCTTAACCAGATTAGTATGGGACCACCTCTGAGACACTACCTTTCCGATGCAAAAAGAATTATCGAAATCGGTTGACGTGGTCCAAAGTTATGCGGTTACATACATACAAAAAAAATATTGCAACGAACTGATAACCTCCTCCTTTTTTGGAAGTCGGTTAAAAAGAATGAAATCATTCCTTTAGTGCTCAGTAAATGAATGTTGCCTATGAAGTTAGCAAAATGGCTCGACGCCACGTCCTAAAAATAACATATATATATTTTTTTTCTCGCAACCGGCCACAAAACTACGCGTGCAGAAAAAACTCAGACTAAATGCCGTCCATTTTATTGTTAACCGACTTCCAAAAAAGGAGGAGGTTATCAGTTCGTCGGAATATTTTTTTTTTTTTATGTATGTTACCGCATAACTTTGGACCACGTCAACCGATTTCGATAAGTCTTTTTGTGTCGGAAAGGTAGTGTCTCAGAGGTGGTCCCATACTAATCTGGTTGAGATCCGATGAGTGGATCATGAGATGTATATATATATATTTTTTTTTATATGGGAGTTGAAGTCGGTTTTTTTTTGCTAAAAATTACTTGTTTTCATGTCCCTTTTAATCTGAATGTTGTGTGTCAAAGAGCTCAGTTATTCGTCTCTCAACACATCGCGGCCAAATGTCTCATACTTAATTCTTGCAAAGTTGTCCGCAGTCCCGTCTGCTCAGTGAGAGCAAAAAACTATATAGACCTTCTGAGATTGAAGGCAACATGAGTTTTGCCCACCTGCAGCCCCTCTATTCCTCCCAGTCATTGCTGAGCGAAGTATTCACCCAGTTTCTGATGGTGGCTTCGATGGCCGAAGGTGGGAGTGCTATAACTGGTTGCGGACCGAGGAACAACTGGTCTGAGCCAGTTATGGCCAAATGGTCAGATGTCTCATTACCAGGTACTCCCGAGTGACCTGGCACCTCGTTATGCTTGCCGACATAATTTAGTCCTTACTTGTAGTAGTTAGAGGGCTGGCAATGCCTTATGTGCAGCTTGGCTGAAACTGCAGACACGTAAACTTCTTCCACTCCACCTATTATCCACCACGTAGTCCATGGCCTTGAGGATTGCAAATACCTCAGCCTGGAAGACCGAAGCA